GGCTTAAGTGGGGCATCAATTGATGCCGCTACAGAGATACTGATCGGGAGACCTTTTGCTTTGAATTCCAACAGTGGCAGGGATTTCTACACTAACTTTCAAAGCGAGGTCGAATTTAATCGCTGGCTGAAGGAAAATTCCAGCGGCCGAATCCTCTCATTGATATTCATCCATGATTTCTCCGATCAACACTAGTTGAATGCCGGAGCAATACTCTAACAAAGGAATAACGAATCGGGCGCGACCTTTCCTTCCTCTTCCTTGTTCTTTCCTCGCCTCTTAGATACACACTGGCATGGACTTCACTACCACACATGTCGAGAGACCAGTCGGGAGCTTAGAGATGTCTTGGCTGGCGCGGTACCTCGCAAGTGGGAGATACCTGGTTGAGGAAAACCCGGCTAGCCGATGGTAGGCCGGCACCGGAACTCGCCTTCCACCGACAGAAGATTATCGCCCCCTCACGCAATAAAAGCATTCACTACACTTACGGAACAAATGAGCGTAGCAGTTGACGCTCTCGGTAACACCAAGACCTCTCAACCAAATCCCAAAGAAAATATTGGGAAAGATAGGTATGGAGTCCTCGGCGTGTCGTTATGAAACCTAATGTTTCTCTTCTCTGGGAGTTGTCCCCAAAGAAACTATGATTACCGCGGGAGATCTTCGTAGTTTCAGCGCTGATAGAATGGTGGTCAGAAATTGGATGGGGCAAAATGAAAAGAAAAGCTCCGACTGAAAAAGAAGAGAACTAGTACGAAGAAATCTCTGCCACTCTGTAACATGAATATTGGTAAAAAATAAATGTGTTTTTGCTTGTCAACTTTAGTAAAAATAAATGTGTGAACTCCATGCCTGTAATTATAACAGACATTTTAAAATGACGCGTTATTCACGTCCTTGCTGCGACCGGATATCTCCTCGGCGAGATGCCGCTCCAGCCGAGTCGATCTCTAAGCCCCCGACATGTGTGGCAGGGGAGAGCGTGTAAGCCCAAGTGCGTAAGTGTAAGGGAAGAGGATATGACCAGGAAAATGACGGAACGAACGCGCGCTTTCCTTGGCCCGTTTCTTAAGTTACTGCTCCAGCATGTGCCTGGCATTGATCGGAGAATCCACGAAAAACTACCAACGAGAGCCGCCGACCGCCAGATCCTTCAGCCCACTGTGTGGCGCGGGTCCCGCCCCAGCGCCTGCCGTTGCACCGGCCGGCCGCCCAGCCACGTCACGAATCACGTAGCCAGCGGAAAGATGCGCGGCAGCTGTGTCTTTTGGCACCGGCTACGAATTTTTCGGGGACGATTACTTGCGGCGGATTTCATTCACTGCTTTTTTTGCTTTTAACGAAAAGGTTACGAAGATCGCACCGCGGGAGTTTGTATGATTTGGGACGTTCCTGGTTTGTGGGTCGCATCATAAGAGCAAATTTTCAAAGTACGATGAGGATTTTAAGCTTTGGAACGAGAACGACTAGAGGGAAGACACTTTGCGCTTGCGTTCTTCATAAGGATGTTTATAATTAATTATTGAGTTTTATTCAGTTAAACATTCTATAATAGCAATAATAATAATAGTAATAATAGTAATAATAATAACAATAATAATAACAATAACAATAATAATAATAATAATAATAATAATAATAATAATAATAATAATAATAATAATAATAATAATTGGTGCCCGAGATCGCTAAGGCAGTAGTGCCGTAGCGATCTCGGACCGAAGGATCGCGCGTTCGAGTCCCACCTCGGGCATGGTTGTGTTGTGTGTGTCTCTTAATGTTTGTGTGTGTGTCTATTTCATCATTCAAAATCACAATTTCATCCCATCCCCCAGTGCTAACGACCCTGAGGTGTAAAAATGGAATCAGCGTACAAATGCTTATTCTCCCAAATAGAAAGTAACGTGCATCTACCCCGATATTCAAAGCTGAGACCCGGTGGGATGCACTTATCGCGTGGCCCCATGATGGCCGATTTCGCGTCAAATAATAATAATAATAATAATAATAATAATAATAATAATAATAATAATAATAATAATAATAAGAGTTTATAAAATTAATACTACTTTAAATAAATAGGGTTCACGTATTCGTATTTTCATATTGCATACTGTGTTTTCGAAATAGCACGGTAGAATTTGGAAATTGTCACAGGAAATTTGACGTTTCAGTTGTTCAGTGATATCAATTTAAAGTCAAACATTATTTGAATTAGTTATTTTAGAAGAGATTTTACGTTAACCACAACGATTGATGTTTGTATTATTTTTTTACATTTGCTGTCTTTCCTTGACTCTTGTGCCCGTTAATTTTAAAGCTGATTTTACTGAAAACATGAATTTTTTTTTAAATTAGCACATTTTGGAAATTTCTGGATTCACTCTTATCCAAAATTCATTTTCTAACTCCCCTATCTTGATCTAGAATGTTTGACATACTTATGCTCTCCTCAGGTGATTAAAGAAGTTACCAATGCCCCTATTTTCACCAACTTCAACTCTCTTTTTACTAGGCTTGAGTTCAGTGCGTCCCACGCAGTTCCGTAGCTCTTCGATCAAAGTTGAAACCCTTTTAATAGCACCTGCTTAAGGTTTAAAAAGATGAGTCACCATTTATCAGAAATATTTAGAAATGCTACCACGACATCTTAAACTCAATGAATATACAATGCCCTAATCTTACACAACATTCAAATTGGCAATGATTGTTGTTTTTCCGCATTGGTAAAATCTTACATCTATACGGCTGTTATGTCTTACTGATGACTTCTTATTGTTTAGTCTTTGTATTTTTTACTACGCACAAATTTTTATAATCATTGATAGTTGTTGACATTTTTTAACAAATTTTCACACGTACACTATAAAAAGTGACAACATTTCGGATATACATTTCCTCCATCATCTGATCATTTGAAAATCTTGTATACAGTGTTGTTCTGTATTCTTTCAGTGAAATATTATATTCATTACATGATCTGTCAGTGAGTGCGTTTGTAAGGGGATGTGGAGTAACCAAGAGAGAAGGGTGGAAAGGGAAGGATTAGAGAGAGAGAGGGGGGAGAGAGAGACAGAGAAGGAAGGGGAGAAAAACAAAAAAAATCATTTACACGTAGAAAAAAAGTTCTGCTAAAACTGTGAAAAATAACTAGTTTTCAGTAAGAATTAACTTGTTTTATTCATTTCTTAATTTTCCCTCATTATTTTCAACATTCTTTTCTATAATAAGTAATAAGGTTCCTTCAAATGTCAATTTTCATTTAGATAATATTTTATAAGTAGTTGGGTTATAATATTTTATAAGAGAAAACTATTTAATAAGAAACAAAGTGACACGTTGTGAAATTGCGAGGATAAACATTAAAAAATATCTTATAGATCAATCAAAAGATTTACGGAATAAATTAAATCAGTAAAGTAAAAAGTTGTTTTAAAATATCTACGTTTTCGTGAAAGCGATACAGTTTAACTTCTCCAAGATTTAAATACACTTGGATTTCAACTACAGCGACTGCCGTTGTATACAACAAATAAAGTTTGTTTTTCTGTAGAAATGGAACAGTGCACAATGGTAACCATATTATTCGGGCACTTTTTCTTGAGCTTCAATATCCCTACCTCCTTTCATTTATTATCCATAGTTCCATCCCGAGTTAACACTAACAATGACCATTGTTTACAACAAATGACTAGTAATTTTCTTTCCAATTTGAAAGAAACTGGTTCGGCAAACAAGGTACAGATATGATTTTGATAGTACTGCTGATGAAATAACTATCACCTCACTTACCTTTGCATCTAGCAAAATAGAAAACAAAAGTGGATAATACCATTTCATTGTTGAATTTTGTCAGAATTTAATTATTCTTGTTCCATTATTACTCACATAAATCATTACGACTCATCATTAATATTTCCTCTGTGACGAACAATGCGCTATGTAAAGGAACTATTCAAGAGTGATGTTTGAAGGTCACTCCATGTCCAAATATCAAAACAGCAGAAAAATTCTACTTCAAGCATCTTATTTTAAATTAAAATCCATGTAAAAAAGTATTACTAAAAAGTAAAGCATCTAATTGTAGAGATACAACTCGAGATTATTCTAGTCCATGAAAAGGAAACAAGAAAAAGGAGAAATTCATGAAAACCAGCAATGTATAAACAGTATAGGAACAGGTGTTACCCTCATATATCTGAGGATACTATTCGCAGAGAAATAAAATTTCTACGTGGGTGAAATATATTTGTTCAGTTTTTGGCATCGATAGGAACAAAGACACGAAAACAGTGCAATACGTGAAGTTAACCTACAACTCTATAGCACGAACGTGAATAAAATTCTACAGCACGACGGTGAATTTGCATACGTGTCACATGATTGTCGTTCGTCTTCTCTCTCACAGTGACAGGTGGTCATAACCGAACTGCAGCCAAGGGAAACTCATAACCCGCACCGTTTAGCACCCTCTCGCGAGCGATACGCATCTCCTTGGGTGGGGGAGGGGTGCGCAGCGGGAGCGGAGGCAGCGACGCGTGGCCGCATCCGAGAAATATCCTTCCACCGCTATCTCGAGAGCTCTCCTTCGTCTTCTCCCCGTCGATAAGAGGGCGCACGAGAACAGTTGGCAGGCTCGAGAGGAGCGCTGACAGGCCGGAGGGTGCCAGCCGCGTGGGAAGGCGATTCCAATCCAAAAGTTTCGTAAAAAGAAAATACGTCACACGGCCATATCCTGAATAATCCGGGTATTAATAGACTCCAGCCGTTTGAAAATCAACTGTTCAGAGGCGGCGGCGGCGGGCGCGCCGTTGGGTGGGGGCGAGCGGACGCTGGCCGGACCGGGGGTGGGGATGATCTCGAGAGGGAGAGAGAGAGAGAGAGAGGACGCGGAGGAGGGGGTGGAGGGGAAGGGCGGGCGTCCTCCAGGCGCCTAGAGACTTCTGCGGGGCGGAGGGCGAGGGCGAGGGCGAGGGCGAGGGTGAGGGCGAGGCGAGGGCGAAGGTGCAGGGCAGGGGGCGGCCGACGCACGGGCTATATATGCGCCCGGGCGCGAGGGGCGCGCCCATCAGTGTGCAAGTCGCGCAAAACGAAGCGAGTCCGCAGCGGAGGCCCCCGCCGCCCTTGCAGACGCCGAGCAACCCTTCCCTGCTGAGCAGCCATGTCTCTCGAGCGAGAAGTTAGGGCCAAGGTAAGTACGCGGTGGCCTGCACGCAAAGCTACCGCTCGGGGGTGTTGAAACGTCAGTCAGCCGACTGGGACCGTTAAATATAGTTTTTTGTTATCATTCTCGAGTTGCAGTAGGATGATTGAGCAAAAACCTCGCATCCCCCTACTCCGCGGAGATCTTTCAACAGGGGGCCGGGACAACTGGACGCGGGCCGGATTGGAAAGCCATCGTGCAACGGGGTTGACGAGGGGCGGGGGCGCGGTGCGCTAATGAGCCTCAAGAATGTCGCGTGGGTGAGGGCGTCGCCTATATAGGTGGTCGGAAAGCGAGCCGCGTGCATTAGTGTGCAAGTCGCGAGAACAAAGCGAGTCAGCAGCGGAGGCAGCCCCGAGCACCCCTTCCCGCGGAGCAGCCATGTCTCTCGAACGCGCAGTTAGGAACAAGGTGAGTGCGAAGCCGCCGCGCCCACCTGTGGGACGACGAAGTGTCAGGCGTTGGTTTGCTCGGAAATCACATGGCCGTTTGTGCAATTTAAATTAAATAGGTTCTCTAACAATGCGTTCACTACATCAAAGACACTGAACTGTAGGGGTAAAAACTGCACATCAATTGAAATGGTCACTTCCAATGTTAATTAATTCAATCGGATCAAAATCTAGTGAATAAAATCGAGCGAAAAAGTAATTAAATCAATTAAAAATATTTCAATTGGCTTTGAAAGATCAATTGAATGTAACTGAACGACCCAAAGGGAAAATTTCTATGCATTCGTCGTCACAACCATTGATTCAAACCATTAGCTCATTGAAGTCCAAAGAGATTCGTTCTTGGAGTGCGGCCTCGGAACAAATGGATCCAAATGTGATTCGTTCTGCTTGCGCGTTCATTCATGTATTCTTACTGTTCAACCGTTGCTTGTTTTCCGATTGCAATCGTTTTTATTACGCAGTTGTAATATTTTCGTGATTTCATTGCACGTGCACATACAACTTGCATAAACCAACTCAATGGATGAACTTTATCAACTCTCTTGTGAGAGTTTAATCATTTAAGATGTTGAAGATTGTAGTCAATGTAAGTGTAGCTGATAATCATTAACACAGCATTGCAAATTTAAGTGTTTAAAATCTAAATATTACTATTGATGTAGGAAACTTTAAATTGCTGAAAATGCTACATCAGAATGACAGAGTATTATAATAACAAAATCAGAAATGAGTTCACTATTTAGATGCCAACAGTTATCCCATTTTAAAGAATTCCATTAAAAAATTGAATAATGTGAATTTATTACGAAATTATTTCTTTCAAGAATTTTTTTCGCCTGTGTCATAATAAGCATTGTTCTCCCACTAAATAAAATAGAAGTCTTTATGTAAATGAGGAATTTTTAAATCTCAAAAAAGTATATATTCTCGAGTAAATGTAAAGTAAATTATAATGGTATAATAACAACGATATTTCCAACATGACACAAACAAATATTTTAACAACAAGCAACATTATATCAAACATATCTTAGATACTCGAGTTTAAAAAGAGACCCATTCAATGGGAATCCATTATGTTAGGCCATTAGTTACAGATTTTCTATGCTTAATTGAAAACTGTCTATTCGTAACGTTTACAAGATCAGCTGTCCCTCAACTATGAGTGTAATGCACCGGAATCTTAGAACGCGCGCTCAGTTGTTTTCTCTGTTGCACATCCGAGTGGAAAGCTGACTTGGCAAATGTCAGTTTTTCAATTTCTGAGTTGTCTTTGTACCCTATACGAATGCCTGTAACTCCAATTTTGACATTATTCTCAAACGTTTCAAATAGAATGACCTGGCATGCATTCCAAGCAGAAAAAGTAAATGCGAATAAATTATTGTTTCAATTTTTGGCGCCCATCAAGTCCTAAAGATAAGTATCTCCCACCACGGGACACCGCCTCGACTGAAACAAGCTCTAAACTTCCGACTGGTCTCCCTACGAATCTCCCGAAGAAACGTAGTGCATGGAAATGCAATTATGTATAAGTAAAGGGTGATGATAGAAGAAAGAGGAAGGAAAGTTGGCGCGCCATCTGTTGCCCGTTTGTTGGGCTCTCGAATTTGCCTGGTGTTGATCGGAGAAAAGTAGAGAGTAGTTGGCCGCAAGAATTCTACTCCAGACAGCTGCTGAATACGCTCTACCTATGTTGAAAACCCTGCCCCCGTCGGGACTCGAACCCAAGGAGAGGACAAAGGTTCCGCGGAGGAGTTCACTTCTCGACGGGGGAGGGGGGCGTGCGCAGCGCCGCTGGAATCCAGGGCGGCGGGTCACTGCGATCTGAGGCAACGCGTGACCCGAATCTCCAGAGGCAGGGCTGGCAGAGGAGGCCTGCGCGGCGGCTGCGCCGGGGCTGCCCGAAATAGCGCATATTCCGCGGCGCACGAACGCGGCCGGGGCGCGGCGGCTGCGTTATGAAGCGCGCTCTGGCGAGCCGCCACTCCGCGCCACTCCGCACCGACACCCTCCGGTCCCCTTTTCGCGCTCGCTATATTTAGCGGGCACCGAAGCCCGGTCTCCGTCATCCGCCCCCGGCCCCGCTCCCCTTCGACGTTTTTCCCTCTCCTGAAATCAGCGGCCCACCTTTCCTCCCACCATGTCTTCCTCCTCCCTCCTCATTCCACTCTCTCTGTAATTTCCTGTCCACCTCTACCTGTCCCCTCTCCTTTCGCAACTTTTGCATGTTTGTTCATTTTCCTGTGGCTCCCGTGATCTATATCGCGCTGACTCGCGCCACGTCTGTAGCCTCTCAAACTCCGTGCACTTTGTATTTTTGATCACTTCGTTTCTTGGTCACAGATGACATTTTATTTCACTTCGAAGTACTTTTTCCTATCTAAAAGTATATTGTATGTGCCATGCTCTTGTAAATTAAATTTTAAGAATTTCCTAATTAAAACCTGTATAATTTCACCAATTCGTACCTCCGAACACAGAGAGTCGAATAAGTTAAACATCTTTTGGAATTTGAGAGTTTCTCTTCCCTAAAAACAATAATCACTCACATGTAAAAAACGAGAAAAGTTAAAAATATCGGAAACTAACGCGCGCACTGCAAAACGCCCGTTCGTTACCAGCCCCTGGCAGTATGTACCCTTTCTTGACAGCCGTTCTTGCGCAGCAAAGAAACGTCAGGCGAAAGGGATAAACATCGCGAGTGTTCCCAGAAGGAGCCTCGGGCGACGTTCGGGGTGCACGTGATGCCATGAACGGCTGGACGATAAACACTCGCTAAGCGACAAGAACTCTTTCTTCACGAAAATTGGCAAAAGTAACGTTCTCCCATTATTTCTTAATTCATTTTTCTTCCGACAAAAATCTTTGAGAAAATAACTGAATGATGTTGAATGTTTCATACGCCATGTATCATCCGTTCCTTATCACTCGTAAATATGAATGATCCGAGGTTTAAACAAATATTTCGGAATGTATTTTTAGCTCAGATCTTAAATTCTCAACTAGTGAACTTATAGTTTTACTTCAATGACGATTCGTACATAATAATTAATAATTTCATAAAAAATGAAATTTATTAGAATACTGATATTTCTTCTTCCTTTTTTCAGTTAATACAATCATTCTGTTTTTAGCGGTGGTGTTTTTTTTATTTCGTATTTTCAAATACGACGAAACAAAATGACTGTCACTCCCCTTCAAAACCGCCTGATAAAGCACTTCTCAGAGTGAACGAACAGAACAAATTGCCTCAAGTTAATTACTTTCGTAACACCTTGACATGTCTAGGTTATCGAGGAAGATATTTATCATCGCCCGGCCGGCGCGAAAAGTCATTTTCGTCCCGGGGATTCCCCGCTTCGTTAGGCTCCCCTCCCCCCGCGCTGCGCTGAGCCACGTGGCTTCTTGGCAACGGACTACACGCGCGGGGGTGGGCCGCAGGCGGCGGCGAGTGACAAGTGGGACGAAGAGCTGCAGACGCGCCTTGGAACTAACGAACCGAAAGAAGCTGACGGCTTCCGAACTGCTTCGCCTCCCAATTCCGTTACCTCGAAAAGCGTGGTAACGTATTTTTGGAAACATAAACTTGCCCAAAATGTAGAATAGTGGACATTCTTTGAAATAAAGCTGAAGATACCTAGTTCTATCTTTCGTAGTCGGAGGTTTTCTTTGTATGGAGAGACTATCAATTTATGAGTTTTAGGGTAAAACAATTGAACTCTAGTAATGCTGACTTTATAAGATTTGCGTCGCACAGAAATTCGTTATCTATCTTGCACTATATTTATAAGAAGTATTAATAATTACGGCCACATTAGAAAATAATGGTCACATATTCAAACAGGGTTTTTTTCTAATCAGCCAACATAAAATACAAAGATAAGAAGATAGTAAAGAGGGAGATCAGTTCAATATTTCACACAAATAAATGAATTGGAATATGACGAACTCTGGGCATACCGAGAACGTGCTACTAATAGTCTACTTGGCAGACAACTCTGTCTCGTTTCCGCCAGGCACCTGACCACTTGTAGTACCGCTGTCTAACAAATGTGGCTATTCTCATCTACGTTTGGAAGTGGATCGAAGTAAATAGCAATTATAGTCAAAATATAATATGAATAGCAATGACGACTAAAAGATTATTGATATCGAGGAAGCCTTAGTTCGGGGCCGACGGAATGGACCCTTTCCTGACTGGCATCTTTCCTCCGCAGCTCAAAACATGATGTTCAGTGAGCCCTAAAGGAATTCGGTCAACTTGCTATTTCGGGTTAATCAATGATTACGTGTTAAGGATCAGACCATTGGACCTGCTCTTAAATCTAACTACCTAAATTTTTCTATTTCACCATCTCGTTACAGGCGATTTGAATGTTGATCAGAGCTCAGATTTTTATGCTTCAGGAACATTTACATGTAGTAAATCTACAACAAGGGACAGCCGGTTTTATTTCTTACCTTCGTACGAAGTACAAGTTTTGCCTTTAAAAATCCACGTTACAATCCGATTTCAACCGCGAACTTGGGTATAGCAATTTGAAGCACTAACCGTTACACCACCAGAGTGAGAATCTCTTGTTAAGAAAATTTTGCAATTCAAATCCAAGCAGGAACTGGTTTAATATCGAAATTTAGATAAGTCGTCCAGGCATTAATTTTACCATTTCTGTATATTATCACATCTATTCATCAACTAATTCTGTCGCGTACTCTTTCGAACCACACATCTTTTTCGTTTGCATGAATGTTATTCCTCTTGTCCCATTTCCCTTTTCCACTCCCTTACCTCTAGCATTCCACTTAACCCCAGAGAAAGTATCCACTACAAGCTTGTATAGAATGATTGTGGTACGTATCTATCTTGCTCCGTCCAAGGTACCAGAGGATTTTGAGGATCCGGAGCCAACACCAACCATTGCTCATTCTCCATTTCCTTCGAGAATGCCATTCCTCATGCAGTCATCTGGATTAACGTCAGAACGTAGCCAACTGACATATCACCAAGGAAATGGGTGTGCGCTTACTCAGAGACTCCCATTTTTTATGTTTATCAAGTGAAAAGACATATCAACCATTCCTGGAGTTCGAAATGAACACTCACTCAATTTCCCATGTGCAGGGAACCCTTACACACATGGATTCCGATCCATCTGAAACCACCCGAACAATTCGGAGTTTCTCCCCTCCCTTCCTTCGTGGCTTCTCTTATCCTTCCGGGGCTTCTCTTATTCTTTTGAATGTTGTATTCCAACCACGCTCGTGACCACCGTACTCGGATCTTAATTAATTTTAATTATCGTCATCAACACCTTGCCTTATTTGGACACGGATAATATTAATTTATTGATGATGGGACGATGACGGAATAAGAGGCAGAAGAGACGGTAAAACCCCGAGAAAACCTGCGGCGAACCCGTTTCCTTTCCCCCAAATTCCACATGGCACGACCACAATTTGAACCCCGTTCTCCAGAGGCGGAAGAGGAGCGATCTCACCACTCCCTGGGGATTCGCTCCTACCGTATATGGCTCGGTCTGCAGTCCTTGGTTCGGTCCCCGAGCAGCCCCTAGTTGCCAGGCAACGCGGGGCGCGCTAATTTTAACGCGGCGGGCGCCCCGATGACGTCGGCCGGCGTCGAATTCCAGCCGCGTGCGCTGGACGCGCACTGATCTTCCTCTGCCCCCCCCTCCCCCACCCCCCGGTCGGTTTACTGCCGCCGGAAACTTCCAGAACGACCGGCGCGGAACGCTGCGCTGCACGTGGGCCACCGCCGCCGCCGCCGCCGCCGTGCAAACAAACGGCGAAGCAGCCGCTCGGGAGCTTTACGGCTTTCTTCGACGTTTTCGCAAACACCCCGGGCGCGGCGCAGACGGACCCGGACGCTAGTCGGCCCTCGCCACGCGACAAGCGGGTGGATTTGGAGAAATATCCGAACAGTCTAATATTAAGCCAGGTTGGGTAACTAGGCGAGTGCTGTAAATCTTAAAGTTTGAGAAATTTTGAGGATCCGGAGTCAACACCAATCATTGCGTATTTTCAATTTCCTTGGAGAATTCCATTCTTCAGGCTGTCATCTGGATTAACGTCAGATCGTCGCTTCTGATATCTCGCCAAAAACATGGGTGAGCGCTTACACAGCTAGTCTTCCATTTTCTTATGTTCATCGAGGGAAAAGATATATCAACCATTCCGGGGGGTCGAAAAAGAACACCCACTCAGTTTCCCCTGTGTAGGAACCCCTTACCGACATGGATTCCGATCCAGTTTCCGATTCCGAAGCGACGTTATTTTGATAATTGCATCAGCACCCATTTCAAAATTGCTCATTTTGAATTAAGTCAAAGAAACGTTTATGAAAAGAAATACTATGTTTAAAGAAGTACGTTTAAAAATATTCTGTTTACTGTGTTATAAAGCGGTTCTGTGTTACAAAGCTGTTTCACAACTAGTCGGTATTTGAAGCAAAACGATTGTGTGTGGAAGGAACATAAACGACCCTTCTCAAGTTAAATTTTTTCTGGAAATGCAGTTTTTTAGTTATTTCACTTTTATTGTCTGCCAAAGCCAAATAGGCCTAAAACACAGTAGTGTTATCACGCTTAAAGCATACAGGCATCTTATGCAATTCAGATAATGTGTCGCGATCCCCAAAGTGGGAAAAAAACGAAAAATACTTAAGAAATAGCAAACGGTAATATTCGAGGAGTAAATATTAAGACATTAAACCAATAAGATATTTGAGTGTACACTCTGGTATTCGCTGACATAAAAACATCATTTGATGTTCTTATTCACATAAATATGTCTGGTACAGTGTATAAACATGTCAGGGGGACTCAAAGCAGTTTTAACAATTTCGAAATATTTTGAGATGAATGGGGAAACAATGAAAACGATATTGTAACACAAAGTTAAAAGTAGTTAGAATTTAACACACAATATAAAATAGAAAAGAAAGTTACTGTATTCTAATGTATGTTTGGAAAACATTTGCGACTAAATTTAAACTAGATGTAACGCGTCTGACAGCGCACAAACATCTTTTCCAAGCAAACACTCGAGAACTGCTTTGAACAGCATACTTTCGGACCAATGCTAGTTTGCGTTGGCAGTAGATCTAGCACTCGCATAAGAAGTAGAGCGACCAACGAACAATTTCAACATCGGCACCTAAAATAAACACTATCAGTCTCCCATGTCCGACGTACTTACTTTTACATAATCGAAGAATTCATCTCATACCTCTGGCGTTATTAATTTCTTAATCACATTTTTGTAAAAATTCGTCGCATGTAGACTTTAATGAGAGCAAGAAATCAAAGTTGAATACTCAAAACTGAATCAATAATCAAAACTATCATTGTTCTGTAGCCTACATGACCTTATCTCATAATAAAGAAAGCTTGTCTTTTCGTAAATAAAATTCTACTGAAAGAGTAATACATGTTAGTAAGAGTAGTACTTGTTTAAACTCTGTTACTGATTATCTTCATTGTTTATAATAGCTAAGAGTAGTTGAAAATTATAATGTTCATCGTTATCTATCTTAATTTTTACCGTATTCGTTCGATGCATCTAACTAAGAAGTAACTATCATTAAGTATCAATTAAGATTTACTTAAGTGTTTCAATTTGACTTTCTTATTTTAATTTAATTTATAATATTTATAATATATATTATTTAATATGTTAATTTATTCCAAAGTATTTAATTAAACATTTCCAATCATTACAATGGCTAGCTACAGTTCATTTTCAATAGTTTAATATTAAATTACAACAACATATATAATGAACAAAGCAATTGGCAAGTCGAAATGCTGCTAGTTAATGATATGACCAGACATTGACTCCTAAGTGAACGATGTGTAGGTATCAAACTCCGCCTCCTACTCATTAAACATCACAAAAAATATATGTGTTTGTTGCACTCCTCACATTTCTTTTGAACGATTGTTTCCCCCTCTGCTCTTCATGTCGCGGTACTAAATGTCCATTCACAATGCAAACGTAAATACAAGCATAACGCATAGACGTAAACATTAACATAAGTGACAGACTGAAGTATTCACAATGTCTAACATAAACGTAAGCAAATTAAGAGTTTCTATTGGTTCTGTTGGTTGGATGTGAGAATCGAATTTGAGGTGTCGACTGTGTCCATGGCCCATACGGCGTTAAATCGTCTATCGACTTCGCTCCTCTTTCGATTCTCGATTTGGAGTTAACGTACTGTGATTGGTTCATTTCTTATGTCTTACATAAGCATAAGCACAGAAGCTTGAAGCTTTGAAGCTTTTAAGTTAACGTCCGCTTGTGGACGTAGTCCTAGCTTTTATGTCAACGCCATTCTGTGCGCATTGTGGCTGGGTGTTAAGAGCGCCGTGCGGGCTGTTGCAGTTGGCCGGGAAGCGCAACCCGGACCAGGAGAGGGAGGCGCAGGAGTGGCTGGAGGCCGTGCTGGGGCGCAAGTTCCCCGCCGGAGTGCTGTATGAGGACTACATTCGCGACGGCCAGGTGCTGTGCGAAGTCATGAACAAGCTGCAGCCTGGCATCGTCCCCAAGATCAACTCCTCTGGCGGCCAGTTCAAGATGATGGAGAACATCAACCAGTGAGTGACTTCGATTGCCCCCTCCTTCCCCCCTCCCCGTTTCCACGTGCTCTCTTCGGTGATTGGGAACTCGCCATTTCCGACGATGGTCATTGAATCTTATTTTAGGTTTTTAGGCAAGGAAAGATCGGTATATCGGGTTAGTTCAGGCAGCGTCATTATAGCGCGTTGGTATATCTGCTTAGTACAATTAGGATTGTCTTGGGGAAGTCTCTTCAGACGAACATTCGAAATCAAACTGAAACAATTCTATTCACGTATAATTTTCAAGATTCAATTATTTGCACCACGAATGCACATAAAGTTAGCTTATAATACTAATAGTATAATAATTATTATACTATACAAGTAATAATAATGAAGATATTTGATATGTTTATTTTTTTAAGAAAAATACTTTAACTTGTAGGCAGTTGCCTTAGCCCTGTCTCCAATATAGCAGATTCACGTGTAATCTCTATATTTCAATAATCAGGCAGTAATCTCTACATCGTAATAATCCTTTAGAAAGACAAATGATACGGAACATGTCCATTTATTATTTATTTTAAACTTACTTTTCGGTGGAGCTCGTCCTGTGTTATTTATTATGTAGTTACATCAAACAAAATGAAAAAAATGAAATAAAATGTAATTTTTGTAACAGTCGAGGACAAGAAAGATGCTCTCGTTTCATGCATCATCTTTTTCACAAATAAGCAAATCAATATTGACAATCAATTGTGCACCATACTTTGTTAGAAATTAGCTCATAAATAGTAATATACATTTAGTTATTTTTTCTTTTTAATAAATTAACTCATATTAAGACGCGATTCAATAGAATTGAAACATATAAATATGAAACACCACGTGTTATATAAAAATTTCAAAATATGCTCGAGTAATACGTAGAGTAATCGTATAAAGTAAACATGATGATTAAGCGTGTAAACAGATAATTATCCATAACAAATCCTCAAACTGGTAATTCAATATGGATCAAAATTTTAGTTTCCCCTACCTATCCAAACATGTTATCGACTGTAAAAAATGGCTTTATTTACTTTTTCCTCCGTAATCGTTATTCAGTCTTTTCGATTGTCAGTACAAAATGTGCATCGGCCGGGAATCGAACCCGGGCCGCCCGCGTGGCAGGCGAGCATTCTACCACTGAACCACCGATGCTACATTAATTCTGTTGAAACTCCTTCCTGGAGACGCTCGTTCAGATTAAGCAGCCTTTCACCTGGCGGCTCTACCTTCTGGCTGCCAGAGCGCGCATCAGTCGCGCTGTGCCCCGTCACGTCCAGTGCTTTCTCTTCCGCGTAGCGCGCCGCGCCACGTCGCGACGCTCGCAGACCGGCCGGCTGGCTGGCTGGAGAATCGATTCCGTCTCCGTCTGCCTTGATGGATGAAAACGAACCTGTTTCATGTTGATTTTATGTTACATTATGATGCATTATGTAATACATATACGTTTTCTTAATTACGAAGCAAATGTATCTATTGCCATATTGCAGAAAGAGAAAAAAAAATTCTAATTGCGAGAAAAATGTCATTCAAAATTTTAATATATGCCAAATAATGTTGCAGTTTCTTTTATGTTACCATTATAATGCATAGTAACTACGTTCTACTGAATAATAATATTTTTCTAGTAATTATTCATTGTTATAAGGTCAAAATTATAATGATAATCGTTGTAACTAAATTATTATAACCAGTGTGATTTTTAATGTGATTTTTTTATTTGACAAAACCATTTAAAATAAATGTGCTCTCCATTTCGAATAAAATCTCAGACGCTCCCTCAAATTTTTAATTCTATCCAGCCCTTTTCCTCATTTAAACCGATGAAATTATTTCTTTAGCAAATTTAATTTCAAACAAATTCAAATTTTTGTATATTATATCACATTAAAGAACCAAAAAATAGTATCATTTTACCTATAAAAGGTGTTTTATTAATAAAGTTACGAATTATTATTGGATCAAGTTGCATGCAACTTGAAATTCTTCTTGGAGTGATAATTGCTCAGGAAATTCTGAAATTTCTCGCTCTCCCAGAATTTCAAGTTAATACTTTGAAGGGTATCACAGGGAAGAGTGGTATAATCGAAGAACAAGAGGAGAATTTTCTTTCGAAACTACTACTAAAAGATACTTTATTGCAATATTTCCATGAAATGCTAGCATTTTTAACTCTTGGCTTTACATTTCTAGCACAAAGAGGCAACTACGTCACAATTTGGACGCTTCTCAGATTTGCATGAGCAATCTTTCACGAGATCTCGAAATATTTCTCGCACCTCGCCAAGAGGAGTTCCAAACAAAAACATGCGCGTGAACTATTCTTATTGGTTCGAAAGCTGCGTTCTATTCGTGGACCTACTACGCTCTATTTCGAGAACAAACGCTGCATAAATTGGTTTCGCCGCGTCACACGTCATGCGGGCAGATTGCACGTGTCACAAGGACAGAGGGACGGAGGGCGGGCAGAGAGGGTGGAGGCGGGGCTCTTGGCAGAACAGGCTGTGAATGGACAGCTCGAATGGAGGCGTTGCCCTACACCGCGCCCTCAGAGATGTTTTAAAGGGTTCAGAATGGACATCAAGAATCAGTATTCAGAAGGAGAACGGGAAGTCGACAATGGAGAAAGAAGGGCTTTTTGCAGCATTAAATAAAAAATGAGACGAAAATTAAGATTCGTGTTTCATCTCAAATAGCTGTTTCGAAATACGTGTACTCTAACACGGCTTGTATGTTGCCACTTTTAGCTTATGAAGGAAAAAGTGTTTTAGTGCTTTATGAGGTATCAACTTCTCAGGTTCTCCTTTCCCCAACCTAACGTGAAGTAAACTTTAAATGATTTCTTATTTTCTTTCGATTTTCAACGTGGTTTATTTAGAAATAATTTTTAGAATATTTAGAAATAATTTTTTAAAATATTTTAACGAAAATCTTCTTGGTACACGTAAGTGTCTACAGAAGTTTAGAGTACCCCTTTTATTAACCATCATTACACAATTAGTGATAAGATAATAAGTGAAAGTCAACTTAGTTTTTTATATTCTGAGAGCTGAAACAGTAGAATGTATCTGTGTTACTTTGGTAAAATTGTTTGTACAAATATTTAAAAGTGTCGTAATATGTGAAAATATAACATATTACTAGAAAAAAGTATGTTTTGCATTATTACTATTTTAACATGGTAGGTATTTTCTCATCACTATCTTGTACGGCAAATATTATTCAAATAACTATAATATACATTAATTCGATGTTCCATACAATGATTTCACGGCTGTACCACGGCACACTCACATTTTTAAAATTATTTGGAAGAAATGACAGGTGTTGTGTTTCATTTCATAATTCTAAAGAATCGCAACAACGAATTTATGTATTACAGATACGTTATTGTTTGTTATTGCCTTCGATACGGAGCTCGTAACTTACCTGGATAGAGAGGATCGAGGTTACGAGGAAAATATGAAAACAGTTGTTTGATGCTACATATTCTCTTACGAAGGAAATCATGAGTGGGGAATTAAGAAAAAGAATTATGAAGAAAATTATGGGAGGGAAATACAAAAAGAAAAACCGTGTGAAGTTAACATCGAGTTAATTAGTAAATAAGTAAATCTGAATCATTAAATTGGGTAAAAAATAATGATTTCTCTAAAAAATAAGGAATTCTCATGATTTATATTAAAACCTGTCCGTTTTCTACGTAAGTGGTGTTCTTCTGTCGCAGATTCCAGCAGGCCCTGAAGGCGTACGGCGTCCCAGACGTTGATGTGTTCCAGACCATCGACCTCTGGGAGAAGAAGGACATCGCCCAGGTCACCACCACCCTCTTTGCTCTGGGCCGAACGGTACGTCTCGCCTGGCAAATTAGTTGCTATATAAAGTGGCGTTACGAAGTACTGACAAATACCAATTCTTTTCTTGAACTTTACAAATAGTTGAAAAATTGGGTCGGGCGCAACGAGAATAACTTTTTGATAATTTATGTAAATTTTGCAATTTCCGAAACTTTTCTCGAAACTTTAATTTTAAAGCATTATGCAAGAGAATAATTTTTCCTAACCACAATTTTTATTGTATTATTTCTACATCAATTCTATATTCTATAGTATTAATTTATGTCCATGCGAAAGAAAAGAGTGTACATACACACGAGTGAGTAAACTCACAATTGAATTGTTTTTAGAGACAATAATATCGACAAAATAATGGAGTTAGTACTTATATTTTCGGTCAGTTCATAGAATACTTGTTCAAATACAAGAAAACCGATATTGCTAGTTACATTAGAGGGCATTTACATAATATCTGGCAGAATTGTGTACTCGCGGAAAATTTGTACGATCATTGCTGGCAACATGCATAGGACAGACTATATTTACAACGTCTCTTACATAAGTAGACTTTTTGTAAACGCAATTTATTATAATATTTTTCTAGAAAGCAAGCGGGACACGCTTAAGACAAGGAAAACATTCGAAGGTCCAATGAACCAAGGTGAATTAACAGTTTTCTGAAATGTAAACATTTGTGTTCTTGTTGTGTAACGCAGGAAAGGCGGTCGACGTACTATTTCTGCCGCGATATAATCGAGGGAAGGGTGGTGAGAGATCGCGTTCTGGCACTTGACTCTTACCTTTGGCACCGTGCCTCCCCATCTTGGCATGAAAACTGTGGTCTTGATAAACAATGTATGACAGAATTACGAAGCCATTAAGTACATGGACACGAGCAGGCGTCTTTCTCGCAATGCTATAACTTTTAGAACACAGTCCGTAGTTTTATTTTATTTTATAGGCTAAAATGTTAGAAGTTTGTTAATACTTGAGGAACGATTGAATTAGAATGTACGAAAAATAGTGAGAGTATTTATTGCTTTAAAAATTACTTGAAATTTAGAAATGTATTCCGCATATATGAACAAAAAACAAAAGTTTATAACAAGAAAAGACCATAGTTATTCAAGTAATTTGTCATAGAATTCAATGAAAATAACATTAATTTGACAATCAGTGTCCCATAGCATAAAGAAGTTCAGGTACAGGTTGCCAGAAGGACAACTATCTTCAACAGTAGTCGCAGATTAATTTGCAAGGATGTTGTAGAAATTACTAACAGAAGAAAAAAATACACAAAATATTGACAAACTTACATTTCCTTTCGACGGATGTGTCATAATTGGACTAGAAAATCACTGAACAAATATGATAAAATTCATTGAAAATGTTATTGCCTTTAAAACATATACATAGCGGATGAAAAAATATCCTAAAATATCCAAACATTGGCTGCAGTCATTCACTTTCCCAAGTGAACCTTCCAAAACTAAATCTGCTGAAATGTTGGCGTATCGGATACAGAAACACGAGAAGTATTACCGTAGACGACATAATATTAAAAATAGAGAATATTCGAAATAACTAAGAACACCAAGAAATTCTATTTATTTACCTCATGTAACGATGCACATAGTTTTATTGTCTTGATTGAAATTTGAATTACATTACAATACTACTATCCGTTTTTAAAAAGGATCTGGATAAAACTTGCAAAATTAATAATATATTTCACGTAATAGTGTGTTTAATGCAAAAGACTGGTATAGAAGTAAAGGAAATGCGTAGTAAAAAGCTTTTAATTATCAATTAAGGCGATGTACAAATGTTCTCTGAAAATTCATCTTCACATTTTTATATATGCCAAAAAATGATGGTATTTTTCGACCCCATTCCTATAGATCCTTATCATGCCAACTTCCTTTCATATCGACCCCTTTCATACCGACCTCTTTCTTACCGACCCCCTTTCATACCAACTCTCTTTTATAATATCCCCTTCCACACAGACCCCTTTCATATCGTCTCCCTTTCACATCGACCCTCCTTTCGTTTCTTTACCTTTCACACCGATTCCTTTTGTTTCCTTTATTTTTTTAAATTTATGTCAAAAAAATCTCAAAACTGTGGTGACGTACTTCAGGGGGAAGTGTATTCCGTAAACGGTTTCTTAATTCTTGGATCCCTACTCTCAACCATACACAAGTTGAATTCTGAATACAGAGAGAAATGAGAATTCTGAATACAGAAAGAAATTAGCGTTTTCGGCAGGAATTGTAAAAACATATTTGCTCTGATGTAATAAAATCTATTTCCAAAGGCAAATCAGCTGTAGATTTGGATTCTTATCCCTCATCTCCTTCGTGAAGGAATATAGTGTCATGTAGACGTGGAGAACGATAATTTGAATAACTAAATTTCCCACTGTGCCTCTTAAGATAGGTAATGAAGTTACATTTATGTCCAGAAGCCAAACAAGGGGCCATTTCAGAGGGCCTAAGTTGAAGTGCGCGTTGTGGCTGCTTGCAGACGTACCGGCACGCCGACTGGAAGGGCCCCTGGCTGGGCCCGCGCCCGGCCGAGGAGCACAAGCGCGACTTCACGGAGGAGCAGCTGCGCGCCGGCGAGGGCATCATCGGCCTGCAGGCCGGCCAGAACAAGGGCGCCACGCAGGCGGGCCAGAACATCGGCGCCGGCCGCAAGATCCTCCTGGGCAAGTGAGCGCCCCGCCCCTCGCCCACGCCCACGCCCACGCCCACCCTCGCACGCTGGCAGCCTCACCCCG